CAAGTGGTAGCATACTTGAAAACAAACAAACAAAAAACAAAACATAGCCAGGTACTGATGGCTCACAGCTGTGATCCTAGCTACTCAGGAGCTGAGATCTGAGGATTGTGATTTGAAGCCAGTTGAGCAGAAAAGTCTGTGAGACTCTTTTTTTTTTCTTTTTCTTTGCCCTTCCTGGGGCTTGAACTCAGGGCGTGGGCACTGTCCCTGAGCTTCTTTTGATCAAGACTAGTGCTCTACCACTTGAGCCACAGTGCCACTCTGGCTTTTTCTATGTATGTGGTGCTGAGGAATGAAACCCAGGGCTTCCTGCATGCTAGGCAAGCGCTCTACCACTAAGCCCCTTCCCAGCTCTCTGTGAGACTCTTATCTCCAATAAATTGCTCCGAAAAAGCTGGAAGTGGCGCTGTGGCTCACGTGGTAGAGCACTTGCCTTGAGCTGAAGAGCTGAGGGACAGCGCCCAGGCCCAGAGTTCAAGCCCCAAGACTCAAAAAAAAAAAAGGGGGCTGGGAAGGTGGCTCAGTGGTAGAGCGCTTGCCTTGCATGCACGAGGCCCTGGGTTCGATTCCTCAGCACCACATAAGCAAAAAGCAAAAAAAAAGCCGGAAGTGGCGCTGTGGCTCAAGTGGTAGAGTGCTAGCCTTGAGGTGAAGAGCTGAGGGACAGCGCCCAGGCAGAGGATCAGGAGTTTGAGACCAGTCAGGGCTACACTGCAAAATCCCGTTTCCAATAATCCCGTGTGTGCAGGAAGGGAGGTTCAGTGGTAGCGGGTGTGAGGTTCAGTGGTAGCGGGTGCGGGTGTGCTTATTCAGAAAGTCCTGGGTTTGATCCCTGGCATCACAGAGTAACAGCTACCGAGCCACTGAGCAAACACGACCTTTGCTTTCCCGAAGAACACGGGTTATTTGTGAGCACAGTGTTGCCATGTGCACGCGCCTGCGCGGTCAGCGGGCTGTGCTCAGAGCCGCTGCAAGGGACGGTTTGTTTCTTTGCAGCAGTGGGGCTCAAACTCAGAGCCCCAAGTTCTCACTTGCTTTTTCTGTATTCAAACCTGGTGCATTGTCACTTGAGCCACATCTCCATTTCCTGATTTTTGGTGGCTAAACATGTCATGGTTTTTTCTGGGCTGTCTTTGGACTGTGGTTCTCAGATCTCAACCTCCTGACTAGCTGGGATTATAGGCATGAACCACAGGCTCCAGCCTAAGAGAAAGTTTGTTTTGCCAGGCCTGGGGCTTGAACTCAGGGCCTGGGCTCTGTCCCTGAGATTTTTTTGCTCAAGGCTAGCGCTCTATCCCTTGAGCCACTTCCAGCTTTTTGCTGGTACTTGGAGGTCAGAGTCTCACGGACGTTCCTGCCTGGGCTGGACCCGCGATCCTCCCATCCCAGCCTCCTGAGGAGGTCCACTGCAGGTGTGGCCAGCGCCCGGCAAGTTCAGAGACTTTTGTGGAAAAGCTTTAGGGAACTGGGGGGAATGTTTGGAGTTCATCAGTGAAGTTTATGGCCAACTAAGGAAATGAAAGCCAACCAACCAAAAGATGTCCTGGGAAAATAAGGCAGGGGACAGGGCGGTGGCTTGTCTGAGCAACAAGCTGGTTGTGCTGTGGGGTAAACAGTGCAAACACTGAACAGCCGGCTGACAGCCCGCCCCCCCCCCCCCCCCCCGCCAGCTGTGCCGCAGAGCCGGGTGCCCTCTGATTGCATGAGTCCTGGCATCATGCCTGCGGGCAGCATGGGGCCCGCGGCCAGCCAGGGACCCCTCCACCCTTGCCTAGGGGCTGCTGAATTTGCCAGAACACTCAGAAATGTGTTTACTGTGTTGGTTTTTTTGGGTAAAGGATTTTAGAAAGGATATTAAGGGCAAAGCAGAGCCCTCATCGCAAGCCCTGGGCTGGATGACTGCTGAACTGAGCTCCAGCAAACCCAGAGGCTTAGCCGGGTGCTGGTGGCTCATGCCTGCAATCCTAGCTACTCAGGAGGCTGAGATCTGAGGATCATGGTTCAAAGCCAGCCCGGGCAGGAAAGTCTGTGAGACTATCTCCAATAAACCACCAGAAAACTGGAAGTGGTGTTGTGGCTCAAGTGATAGAGCGCTCACCTTGAGCTGAAGAGCTGAGAGATAGCGCCCAGGCCGAGTTCAAGCCCTCTGATCGACCAAAAAAAAAAAGGAAAAAAAAGCCAGCCCAGGCAGGAAGGCCATAAGACTCTCTACAAGGGGCTGGGAAGGTGGCTTAGTGGTGGACTGTTTGCCTTGCACGTACAAAGCCCTGGGTTCAACTCGTCCGTGCCACATAAACAGAAGAAGCCGAAGTGTTGCTGTGTTGCTGAGCAAAAGAGGCTCAAGGACAGCGCCCAGGGCCTGAGTTCAAGCCCCAGGACTGGCAAAAAAAAAAAAAAAAAAAATTACAATTAACCAACAAAAAAGGCATTAGTGAATATGAGGCCCTGAGTTCAAGCCACAATCACACACACACACACACCTGGAAGCTTGTTGGGTGAAACACCAAGACCAGCAGCCCCCTTTAAGTGCTTTTCCTGGAGGTCAGGGCTGGTTGCTGACCAGCTGGGCGCCTGCCCAAGCCACCACATTAAGGTAAAACCAGTGGTCACTGGAAGGACTACAAAAGCCACTGGCCAGCCAGGAAGACCCGGGGGCTTTAAGGAGGCCTCAGACAGGACCTGGGAGCCGCGCAGAGGTGGATGGGAGGCGTCACAAGTGCAGTCCTGAAGCATGGCTAATTTGCCAAAAATTAAAACTCTGCTGGGCGCTGGCGGCTCCCGCCTGTCATCCTAGCTACACAGGAGGCTGAGGTTTGAGGCTGGCCCAGGCAGGAAAGGCCGAGACCCTCTATCTCCAATTAAGTGCCAGAAAATTGGAAGTAGAATGCTAGCCTTGCGTGAAAAAGCCCAGGTCCTGAGTTCAAGTCACTTCACCAACAAAAATTGACCTCCCTAGGATTTTCTCCCCCATGTCTCAAACTGGCTTTATGGTGTGTTGGGGACTCAGGTGAACCCTGGTCTGCACCCCACCCCCCCGGATACGACCCATGCTAGGCAGCCTGGTCCTCCACTGTGCCAAAGCTCTTCTCCCCTGCTAGCTCCGTGGACTCTGACGTTCAGCCAGGGTCTTGCCGCCGAGCCCAGGGTGGGCTCAAGCGTTTGATCCTCCTTAAGTCTCCAGAGTGCTGGGATTACAGGTGAGTGTCACCATGCCAGTCTCAACCCTGCTTCTTAATGCTGGCAATGCAGATCAGCAACCTGATTACATATCAGGTTACAGTTTAGTAGGTGGCGCTCTGGCTGCCATCTGTAAGACAAGGTGGCTGGGGAGGGAGTCAGCCCTAGGGCTGGGGGGCGGGAGCATCTCAAGGCATGGGGGATGGAGGCTTAAGTGGATGTGCTGGTCCCCTCTCCCGCCTACAAGCTAGATGACCGCTCCTTTCTGTGGCCATCGCTAGCGCCTCCCTGGTGTGTGGCTGAGGATTACGGTGGGTGGACTCCGTGGTGGACAGCCACACTAGTCTTCCCTGCAGGGATCGCTGGGCCTGCAGCTGGGGCAGGGTCTGAGTGGGGGAGGCAGACTCCTGTGATGCGTTCTAGAGACCAGAGCTGGTGGGGTGGGCGGGCCTGAGACTGAGCCGCTGGCAAAGCTCCCTGCCACCTCGGGCCCAGGCCGGTCGGGGAGGATCCTCGGCACTGCCCAGCTCCCCCAGGGCTTCAAGAGGGGGCTGGAGCCTCCCTGGGCGCCCCTCTCCCACCTCCGAGAGGCACCGGGGCTCAGGAGGCTGCAGGCAGTTCAGCACCTTGGAGAGGGCGCAGGCCGGGGCTCGCGGGCACCCCAACCCCAAGGGCACATGCCTGGATCTGCCCTAGGAGCTCGGGGGCGGGTGCAGGCAGGACTCAGCCCAGGCTTGGATCCAGACCTGGGCTTCCAGCCCAGAAACGGGGTGCGGACTGTGCCACAGTGAGGCCCCAGGGGGTCACCTTGAGTGCCCAGATGCGACCTCCCCCATGCTGTGAGGCCTGCATTCTCTGGAACATTCTGCTGTAGCTAGAGAAGCCACTGGAGGTGGGCCTCCATCCGTCGCGTGTGTAGCCCAGGGCCTGACCTCGCCAACGCTCCAGCGCTGGCCGCGCAGACCCGGGGCTGCTCTGTTCTGTGCTAGGGTCTGAGATCAAGGCCCATGTCACACCTGGAGCCCCCAGAACAGCCCACACCTGGGAGTGTGATCGCGGAGGGCACGGAGCGGACTTCAGAGGCTGTTATAAATACGCGTGTTTGTCGGGGGCGGAGACGGTGCTGTACAGAGCTGGTTGAGGCGCGGGGCCAGACACCACAGACAGACACACAGACGGACACACAGACAGTCCGCCCAGCAGGGCAGGCCAGGCAGCATTCTGGGGCCTGTAACACTTGCTCGGTGGGCGAGAGCCAGCAGGAGGTTTGGTCCGGGCCTGGGGGTGCCCGGCAGCCTGGGGCTCC